CGGCACATTGTGGAAAGGCCCGGGGAGGATGGATCCCCTCACAGACCAAACAAACTTTGCGCAAAGAGTGGGTGTCTGGCTGCAATTGCAATGCCTTGATGTTGTTCCTTTTCTCTGTTTTGGCTCCCTTTGGGGGGTCCTCTGTAAATATATATAGTGGATGGATGAACATATTTTTTTGCCCGTTTGAGTTCCCCTTGCCCTGATCCAAGGCGGTCGACAAGGCGAGCGGGGAGGTAGTAGAGTTCACTGTTGTTGGATAGGAAAATTTAGTTGGAGGGGAGTGCACATATTGGATTCATTTCATTTGTTCATCACATGCCATCACCATCATTCATATCATGGCCTGCCTTTATGGCGGAACTGTGCATAGCTGATGCTTCCATTTCCCTGTGTTGGAGACGCCATTGCTTTGCTTTGTGGTGGTGGACATGGTCAGGTGGCTGTGGGGGACCTCTGTGCAGGCCTTTCTGGATAGGGATGGTGCAGTTGGTCCTGATGGGTTTTCCTCCTAACGCCGGGGACCGGCCTAGGTGTGGGAGCATGGGGACTCCTGCTGCTCACCCCGACTCATGGATCATGGCCATGGCTGTTTAAAGCTGGGGGCCATGCCCCAGATCTTGGCCTTTTACTCCTGCATCGTCATGTCCTTTTCTTAGATCCCACACCCTGTTCGTTTGAGCTTGTTTGACTTATAAGGCGTACTTTTTCAGCCAACGAATAATATTTTTCTCACACACTAAATCAGCTAACAGTACTTTTAGCCATAACTTATCAGCTAAACAAGCCCAAACGAACAGAGCGTTTGGTGTGAGCTGCGTCTGCCAAGAAGTTGAAATTGCATAATCTTTTGGCCTGTATGAAGTTACTACCATTCGCTCTGCATTGTATAAGTCCATTTCCATTTCCTCTCAAGTTCAGAATCTTTGTTCTGTCAGAAAAGCCAAACTTACCCGAACTCCATGCTTATCCAAACATGAAGTTCAACTCTTTCTTCTAGCTTGTAAAAACTCTGAAGTCATGCGTGAGTTGAGTTGGGAGGGACATGGAGTTGCCCACAAGGTGATGCTGGCATGCCATGGCCATGCCGGATGAAAAAATGGGTCCATCCCATGCCAGTGCGGCGATGCCCATGCCCCAGCTCGGTGAACAAAATGATCAGCATCCATCTCGATGCTGGCCTGCGGCCTGTCTCGTTTTATTCAGCAGATGATGAGGCTCCAGCGGCAGTGCTGGCCTGCTGGGGATGGGGAGGCGATAGAGAGGAGGGGGCTGTGACTGTGACCGTGGCTGTGAGGATCCCCATGCCGTGACCCCTTTGGGGGACAAGGGCACAAGGCCCCTCCGTGCCCCGTGTGAGGTGAAATGTGAAGCCAGGCACAGGCAGCCAGCAGCTGCAGCTGGGCTGTAATTTTATTTTTCAGAAGAGACGCATGCGATGCGACGACAGTCAGTACACACTCGGCACTCAACTCCTGCTGCACCAGACCAGACCAGAACTGAACCGAGATGATGGCGTCCTCTCGGCATCTCATCTTTTTTTTTTTTGAGTGAACTCGGCATCTCATCTTCTCCTGACGAAAGCTTTTGTCTCGAGGTAGGAGTAGACGAGTCGCCCCGGCCGCCGGGTGGCGAGCGATGGCGTCTCCCGTCCCACGAGGAGAGGGAGAGGACCCATCACCATGGCCTGAGGTGATCGGGTGATGGGCCGGTTCAACTTGCTTGTGCTTTCTTTCATGCTGCTCAAATGTCCTTGGGTGTTTCTCGTTACGATTTGAGGTGTCAAGAGCCATGCAGGGTAGTACTACAGCAGGCAGCCATGCAGCCGCACAGGCCCTTATCCTCCCCAGAACCCAGGTCGCCATGGGTGGCCTCCACTCCACTGTCCGCTCCAGACTCCAGTGATCGATCTTATAGCTTTGACATGTCCAGAGGGGGCGACAGCGCCATACCGCTGCAGTGCTGCCGCTGACTTCACGGTTTTAACCAAGTGGTAAGACGCACACGCACTGTGCAGCTGCAATCCACTGGAAAAGAAAGTGGCATAATCCACTGCGCAAACTGCAAGCTGATGGCTGCTGCTGCTGCACAAGAGATGAGAAGAGGGAAGTTGCCCTCTACGGCTCTACGTACTCCACTCATTTCCCCCTTTGGTCCCGTCCTGTGAAGCTGATGCTGATGTATGCCACTGTTCGGGTGTACTTGATGCCATGCTCGACATGATAGGATCTTTCCTTCACCTTCATGCACCCTGCTTCCCTGCTTGGCAAGGATGATTGCCCTGTTCGCTTGGCTTATAAGTCATGGCTGAAAATACTGTTAGCTGATTTGTTGTGAGAGTAGAAAAATACTGTTCGTTGACTGAAAAAGTACGGCTTATAAGCCAAACGAATAAGGCGGATCATGGCGTCCATTTCCAAGGTCACTATCCGGAAACCCTGTATGTATGCTCAGCGCTCTGCTTGCTGCCTGACAGACAGGTGACCAGAAGCAAAAACTCTCAGTGGTTCGAAGAACCATATCCTTAATCATGCACATTCTTCTTACAACCGTGGTAGTATCCCACAAAGTTAAGTACAGTAAGAGTTGAGCAAAGAAAACTACTACAGAGCACTGTAGCTGTTCATGTCTGCTATGAGCATGGTCGCATGCCCGTATGGTCCTTCTGCAGGATTCCAGCAGTGGAAATCAGATGAATCACGCAACAGCTGCTTCTTGCCTTTGTTTTTGTTTCCTGGTGTAGATCTGCGGATACTTTAGTGGGTCGCGATTGGAAGAACATTTCATTAGGGAATGTTAAATTAGAATATTAGATTATTCAGATGTGCAGGTAGAAGCACTGTAGTTTGTAGAACATGATGCTGTAGTTTCATACGTTAGAGCATCTTCACCGGATGTCTGAATGGTTTTGGATGAATCTGGAGAAATTTGTGAGAGAAAAACACTGTTCCGGATGAAAAAAGAAGCGGATCAAGCCAGGTTTAAAGACACGCGAACAGGACCATACTATCCAACCTCCTCTATAGTTTTGTGATTTTTTAAATAAATAGTTTTTAGTGCGTATCTATAGCATATATCTACGTACAATAGCAAAAGCTATGGATTTTGAAAAGCCAAAAACAACTTAGAATATCATAGAAGATAGAAGCATCTTGGCTCTGGGACAGTGCGACTGACCTACAAATATCACCAGTATACAGTATCAAGCAGAAAAGGACTATTTCATTATGGGTTGAAGCTCAACTCCAGCAACTATTTCTGAAACTTTCGCTTCTGATAACGATGCAAGCTGCCAAGACATAAGAGTATTGCTTGATCCTTCACATGAAACTTTTTTACTTGTAAATTGTTTGATTAATTAACAATGATCCATCAGAGAGGAGGCAAAGGAACAATCAGACAAGAAGTCAGCAGGACTGGAAAAGGAAGTGATAGCGTGAGCAGGAATTGATCATAAGTTTGCTCACATTCTGATAGCAAAATTTGTATTGTATTTGTGTACATAAACATAAGCTATCTATTTTTTTAGTATTATCCTGATCAGAGAGTATTATTCTCTATTCGGCAAGCTAGCGCCCAGACGTCCGGCCCTAGGCCTGTGTCCGGATACGGCTCTGTTCGACGCAACCGCCCGCCCCTCACTTAAAAAATCGATTACAAACAGAAATTGCGTCCGTTGCGCCCGCGCAACAGGAGAGAGCGCCCATCCCGCTCCGGAGGCAGCGTCGCCTATCGTCCATCCCTCATTCGTATGGATGCCCTGCCGGCTTCGGGAGAGACGAGCAGAAGGTGGGAGGTGAAGAGATGCAACACCCGATCTACTTTTGAAACATCCAAATACAACGGTTGCAACATACGTCTGAAAAGGCCGTTGAAACACTTGAAACATGCTTATAAAACACTTGAAAAACGCACATGAAACACGCTTGAAAACCATTGCAACCATATGCAACATCCAATTAAAACACATGCAACATATGTGTGAAACATATCTAATATCTAGATAAACACAATTGCAACACGCGTCCGGAAACACATAGATGAACACATACCGCTAAAACATCTGAAACACTCGAAACATACTCTTGCAACATGCCTCTGAAATAATTGCAACATATGCAACATCCTCCGATCTACTTTTGCAACATCCATATGAAACAAATGCAACATACCTCTGAAACTCCTGAAACAATTGAAACATATAATTGCAACATAAAGGGGTGAGAGAGAGCCTGGCGCGGGGAGTGCCATGGCGCTGGATCTGCGGACATTGGGGGCTCCCGGTGGGGGAGGACGTCGATGTGGGGGGAGGGGCGGCACCGGGGGTGGGGAAGGAGGCCGCCAGGGTGGGGGAAGGAGCCGCTGGGGTCGAGGAACATAGGGGAGGGGGAGGGGGACGGGGACCGTCGCGACGGTCGACGGCGACGGCCCGCGCGCTCGCGTGGGGCGGCCACCGCTTCCACATCAAGTGCCGGGGTGGGGGAAAAGGCCGTCAGGGTGGGGAGGAGGACGCCGAATAGGGGGAAGGAGTCGATGGGGTGGGGAAGGAGGACGCTGGGGGTGGGGGAAGGAGCTGCGGGAGTGATCGGTCGAGGAAGGATAGACGGCGTGCGGCACAGGTGGGTCAGGTCGGGCGGGTCGAGTCCATCCGTCCAGACGCCCGCTGTGTATCATTATCAGACTATTCGGTTGGCTGGTTCGTTTCGTTGCTGGTTCGTGAAGAAGTACTGCTGGTTAGTTTGTGTGAGAGAAAAATACTATTCCGGTTGAAAATTTACGATCGTTTATGAAAAGCCACGGCCAAACGGGCTGATAGCTCTATGTTACGCTAACGTTAAGCTACCTGTTGTAGGGTTGAGGCACTGATTGTGGGCCCCACAGAGGTTGACTATCAATGACGCGTGAGGCACATGGGAGTCTAACGAATCGGGTCCGTTAATCTGCACCAGGCGTTGGTGAAGCCGCGCGTCGGCGAGAGGGGCGGAATCGGCGACGAGCAGATGGCCGGAGCTGGCGCCGCTGCGTCGGCGCTTTCCAGCCCCTGGAGGGCGCTGCTCCAGAGAGCGCTGGACGCCAACGGCCACCTCAGGCACTCCACCTTCTTCCAACTCGTACGTTTCGATCGCCTTTGTGCCTTCCTCCGGATTGGGGAAAACAAGGTTTGCTCACAACTGTCGATTCGTTTCAGGCCACGGTGGGCGCCGGCGGCAGGCCGGCGAACCGCACCGTCGTGTTCAGGTATCCTGGAGCGCGTGGTTCTGCATTTGTGATTTTGATTTGACGTGGGCTTCCCATTTGTGATTAGGGGTTTTCAGGAACACTCTGATAAGATTATGATTAATACGGACGCCCGAAGCAACAAGGTGGGTTGCTATGCTCTGCGTTGATTGGCATTTTTTTATTTCCCTGCTCGCTGATTCCCTGTTACACTTCCATGTGTAATTTTGATTCAACAGATTGGTGAGATCAAGAGCTGCCCCTTTGGTGAGGTGTGCTATGTAGAACATTAGAAATGTCACAGTTACATACTTACATCACTCAAGATGGCAAGTTGATTTAGCGCTGCCCCTGAACTTGTGTGTAAAACTCTGCAGATTTGTTGGTACTTCACAGATAGCTGGGAGCAATTCCGTATCAGTGGCAGCATAGATGTGATTGATGCTTCTAGTGCAGACCCTGCCAAGCTCCAGGTTAGACCTGAGAGCTGATCACTGCTGCATTTTGTCTACGCGCTGTATAGAGTGCACTGGTCTGGTTACGCTTTTGAGCACACTACCAGTTGTTCTAGTAGTTTAGCTTAGTGTAGCTTTACTTCAAGTTCATAGCTGGGTTTCGTTCATTTATCAGGTTCAACCATATGTTCTTGTCACCTCAATAACCTGTCAAAGCTTTTGTTTATGCTGCTTAGAATAGTCCTATCGCTTACCTTGTTGTATTCTCTTGTACAGAGTTTTATAAAGTTTTCTATTCATTCCGTGGTAAATAATGGTTGTCACTTCTTTCACAGCACAGGGAGGAAGCATGGTTTTCAAGTTCAGTGAAGTCGAGATTGCAGTACTTAGGACCACAGCCAGGCATTCCGGTTCTAGATGATGAGCACGTTAAGGGTGTTCATCTCGATCCATTAGCTGGCCCAGTAGATGCCTTTTGCCTTCTGGTTCTTGATCCGGAAAAGGTTAGGCAGCCCTTTTTTTCACTTTCCTATTGTTGCTCTCATGTTTTGTACTACCATATATGATTAAGTTACAGAAAAGTGCTGCGTTCAGTATTTTCATGCAGAGGACAAACCTAAAATTTTGGTTTAGCTTATCGTGAGGAACCAAAACAATATAATCTTGCAAAAAATGTTTAGATTCAGATTTTTTTTTTTTGTATTTTTAAGTTCCCTAATTGGTGATACGATTGTAAGTTGTAACACACTATTTTTGAAAATTGTAACGCTGGGGATATAGTGTCAGAAAATGATGACTTTGGCGCTAAATAGGAATGAAGATAGGTTATGGTTCTTTTTATTGTACTGAATCCGCCCACAATTTCCAATTTACACTCCAAATACCATCTCAATGCCATATTATTTCATTCCCTGCTAAATGGGCGCTGCTATTAATTGCCAGAATATCAGAAAATCCCACCAAATCACAGTAGCGTACTGTTCTTCTATTTTTTTTTAGAAAAAAAGGCCAACTCAGTTCCCCTTGGAAATAGTTCTTTTGCAGTAACCAGCTATGAATAAGTACATGGGTACCGCCAATTACCAGTGGTCTGGTAGCTTTGTTAAATCCAGAATTTGTGCTTTTGTTATATACTTCATCCATCACTAATTCAGTACTGCATCCAAAATGCACAGAAGATTGCAAATCAAGAGTTTAGCAGTTGTTGCCTGATACATTAGAGCTTTTGCATGATTAATCATCTCATTGTCATTGTATTATTGTGCTTAGGTTGATTATTTGAACCTGAAAAGCAATCAAAGGTTGATGTTTACAAGACAAAATGACGATGGATCCAACGATTGGATGGCAGTAAAAGTTAGCCCTTAAGCTGCTGCAAAAACTTTATTCATGAACTTCTCTTGGTAACAAAGCTATCATGATTCTTCTGTGTTTTCATATCCTTTCAAATGTTTTGGTGAATGTCATTTTGTACATTTGAGAGATCTTTTCATGGTCATACATTTATATATTCGGAATGCTTTGTAATCTAAGGGATTTGTTATTTATGGTCCCTGAACATACAGGTACATTTTAAAATTGGCAACTAACACTATTGATAAAGGTATATCTTCGAAGTCTTGGAATTTTTGCTCAAAACGTTGAGTCTTGTGGATGTTTTTTTTTCTTGTAATCGTATGTGTTACATGCACTTTTTTTTTATACCGAAGCTTGCAGACTACTGCATGTCTGCATCCACAGATAAACGCTACTAATAATCAATCAAGAAAACTGATATCTTTCAAGCTTGTTTGCTGGGGTGAAAGGGAGTCCTCTTCGGAAACATAGAAGACAAAGAATGTAGGGTATTTAGGAAGACCGGAATTCAAAGGTTGTACAAGAATGTGACATATCAGTTAGGGGCATTTGATCCAACTCATTGGTTTTGGGATAATAAAATCGTATTATGTTTTTGAAGTCAAAGCAGGCTGTGGTTATTCAGGTTTGTTCAAAGTCGTTGAACTTGAGATTTGTTTGAAGATAGCGTGTCACTAGTTTGCCACTCGTGCTTGTTTTTGTGCATAAGGTCTTAATAGAGAATTCTTGTTTTCGCCATGGACCTTTATGTGCTTTGCCAGTTTGCTGACCTTGTTGCTTTGGCAGTTATCTGTGTGAGCAGAATGCAGAAATAGCATGTGTCTGCTTTAATAAACTACCAGCATATGGGAAGCATTAAAGCTGTGTCTACACTTGCAACGATGTGATGAGCTCAAGCCGTTGGATGGTTGCAGAACTTCATGTCAGCTGGGCAAGCAATGAATGTGGCCTTCGAAATAAAAGCTGATTGCGGTTATCCTGCAAAAGCCCCCAGGCAGACACACCACATGATCTGCCCTTTCTCTCTAACAGTGCAGAGCATTAAACATCTACTGATTACCGAAAGAACCTTGTGGCTGCAGTGGCCAGTGGGCTCAGATCAGTTCTGATTATGAACAGTTTCAGATGAAAACCTGCTAATAGCATTATGTCATTGCAAAAGCAAATGGAAAGTGAACCGTTGCAGCCATGTTTTGTTTGAGGCCCCAGTTGCAACTTGGGGTGTATGTGTTGGTGATGTCAAGTCTAGAACTTTTGTCCTGGGGGACCGAATGACTATTGGTTCATCTTGACTACTACTGCGGCTCAATCATCTGGCACTTGAGAGGAAGAGATAACCATGAGCACCATTCAAGATCAGTCAAATTTCTACTCCATTGTGGCTGATTGGAGAGGTCAAAGGTGGCTGTTAAATTGGATATTCAGCTTTTGCATCGAAGACTTTTGGCAGCCTTCTCTCTCTCTCTCTCTCTCTCTCTCTCTCTCTCTCTCTCTCTCTCTTTCTCACTACTCAAACCGGTATTGTGGCTGTGCCAAACACAAGTCATGCCCCATCACTTTTGCAAAGCATGCAAGGGACATATGTTTGGGCATAAAAGCAGATGTTTGAGGTCAACAGCAGGTCTGGGCTGCAAGTTGTTAATGGTTGGTTCGTAAAAAAACGACTGAGAAGGCCGCCTTTGGTTTCGTCTTTAGACAGTGGTCTCTTTTTGCCTATTGGGCCTTTGTTGGTAAAGGCCTGGAAGATGTGGGCCATGCACAGCTCGGCAGACTCACCTAGTGGATAACACTCAGTCTCCACTCTGCAGAAGGTATTCTCTATTGGAATTCCTTCTCTATTCTCCATTTCTCCTCTCTGGTTTCATACTGCAAGGTTAACCCCCACACCCCCGGTTTATATGAACTAACACTCCTAAGTCAAAAATTTTTTAAATTTGAACATTATCTGAAATTTTGTATAGATTGACAACACAAGAATGACACCAGGAGATACATTAATAAAAACAGCTTCCTAATAATATATTTTAAATTTAAGATGACATATTTTATAGATATTTTTAATTCAAGTTAGAAAAGATTGGGTTGCGAAAAAATGAAGCTGGGTGCACACCTTGACATCCATATTTATATTACATTTGGTTAAGTATAGCCGTATATAGAAGGGTAAAAGTCCAAATCACTCCCCGTATGCTTGGCAATATCCAGATACCCTCCCCCCCCCAAACTAATGTTTGGTTTGATTTGCTCCTCCAACTATTTTAGTTGGTTCAATTCACCATTTAAGAAGTTTTTTTTTTTTTTCTTTTCTCCACATACAAGTTGAGTTTAATTTCAAATTTTACGAGGCAACAGAGTACATCATACTTTATGTCAAAAAGTACATCTTAATTTTTTCACCATTATTTTGATAGGTTAGGAAATTTCACAGTAAATTAATACTAGAGATACAAAATTATATGAAATATAATGATGAAAAATTCATAATGTATTTTTCTAACACAAAATATGATGTTCTCTATTATCTCACAAAATTTTAAATTTAAAAACTTGTACGTGGAGAAATAAAAAAGGCAAATCTTGTTAACTTGTAAATTGGACCAACTGAATTATTTCGAAGGAGTAAATGGAACCAAACGTTAGTTTAGAGGGTAATATGAATGCATAATTTGAGGAGCAAAGGAAATGCAATTCGTACAATCAAGTCGTACTCGTCATGGTGCAAGGAAAAGATAGGAAATAGAATAATGAAGCTGAACCTAAAACACTACTCTCATATATGTTACCCTGTCCATTTCTGGTGGTGTTATCGGTGGCGCTTAGCTTAGGTTTGAGCAGACCTGTGTATAGTATATGTAGCTCTCAATAATTAGCAAAGAAGGCCTTTTGTATCATGCAAGCATAGGTGTATAGGTGTTTAGTCATTTTGATAGACCGCCTAGTCACTGCCCGATACCGAATGCATGATTATCACCTTTAATTTTGTGTGTGGTAGGGTGTTATTATCAGGCACAAACACAACAAGAGGAAGAGAGAATTGCAGTGGACGTCGTCACCTAGCGGCGGCATGCTCCATCCCTGTCTCATTCCACCCCACAAAGCCAAGAGAGTTCCTAGAAGCACCCATCCAAGGACCAAGATCCAAATGCTGGCAATGATTGGGACGGGGGTCATGGTAATTGCCCGTGAGACCAGAAATTGAGAATCAGATCAGATGGATCACTTGACTATGTCTGTTTCCAGAGGTTAAAGTTTAATCGTGTCACATCGAACGTTCGGATCCTAATTAGGAGGACTAAACATGAGCTAATTATAAAACCAATTGAACAGAAGTAGACTAATTAGTGAGACAAATCTATTAATCCTTAATTAATCCATAATTAGCAAATGTTTACTGTGCATTATATTGTCAAAACATGAGCTAATTAGACTTAATAGATCCGTCTCATAAATTAGTGTCAAGCCGTGTAGTTAATTTTATAATTAGCCTATGTTTAATACTTCTAATTGGTATTAGAGATTCGACGTGACGGCTAAACTCACGCTGACGGTACCCACTCTTCCTTTTTCACAACTCCGAAGTCGCCCCAGCAGGAGGCTGGAGGCCCGTGGTGGTGTCCTGGTCGATGGATCCAATCGAACAAGACAATTCGGCAACTCATCCACCCGTGCGTGCGTGCACCAGCAGCAGCAGCTCGTACTTGCGCGCAAGCGAGAGATGCTGCTGGCCGGCCGTGCGCCGTGTCTCGACATGTCACCTTTGCTGACACCAACGGATAAACTAGAGCCCCGCCCGGCTGAGCGGAGCGGCGCATGACACCAATGGATCATGGATGATGGATCATGGATGACTGACACCAACGGGAGATGGATGCCATGCTGATGATATACTGCTGGACTGCTGGTGCTGGTGCAGGAGGACAGACAAAAGCAAGCAAGCGCACGTCGTAGAGTACAGCACTTGCCTGCTGCCCACTGTTCCGGCACCGATCGACACCAAGTACGCAGTTCAGAGTCCAAACAGACTTCAGACACACACAAACACAGAACTACTACTACTACAGCGTTGGATGCTGCTAGCTACCGAGTGGATTTGGAGTAAACAAATGGTGTATAGTATATAGGACAGGACAGGAGTATGATACAAAGCCGTGGCTATCTTCGGCAGGACTTATTGCTGCTGCGGCTTCGTAGAGCTGATTTGTTGCTAGAGAAAAACACTGTTTCATGACTAAAAAAGTATGACTGATTCTGGCTTATAAGCTCAAGCAAGCTGTATATTTTTTATAATGCTGCTAGGACGGGATCGATCGGATATGTATATGTATTGTACACGCATCTCACATCATGGAGACGCAGCGGCGAAAACAAAAGGACGGATATACTGGAGCTGGATCAGCATTCAGCAGGCTCGACGACGCGGCGACGAAGCAGCTCCGGCCTGTGACTGTGTCTGGGCGGGGAGGAATCGTAGTAGCGGAGCAGTAGTGCAGTCCTGCTGGGGTTGGCCGGTGCTGGTGCAGCCGTCGATGATGGCCTCGGAGACCCGCCAGAGGCGCGCGGTCTCGTGGCGGTCGGTGGCGGCCGGCGACGGCAGCGCCTCGTTGCAGTCGGCGAAGTAGCGGCCGGACACGCCGGCCACCCTCGGGTGGGCCGCCACGTAGCACGTGGTCGCCGCAGCCTGCGTGCGCATTGCGCAGTGGGAGGGAGGAGGTGAGCTCAGGCCTCAGTGCAGTGGATTGACCGGGTGGCCAGGCCACTGACGGCGACCGCGGTGGGGTTTATTACAGACTAGTACAGAGAGGTTTATAGTGGATGCTGCAATAACTACAGACCAACACATAGGAGTACTCCTACAACATTATTAGTGGTAGAGAGAGAGTGTGTGTGCACGGGACCCAACACATGGAGCAGGGAATATATTTGAAGGGATTTGGTGAGGGTACGTTAATTAATCACCTGAGGGATCGTTTTCAGCAGCTTGGACAGCAGCAGGAACACCAGATCTGCAAGTGCAACACACAAAATTTAACGAGTCATTCAGACGAACGAGTCAGCTACTAGCTGACAGACAGTGTATACAGTCCAGTCCATTGTCAGTTTTTCTCACTCACCGGTGAGGACGCCGTCGCGGTCGCGGTTGAGGCGGGTCCTCACGATGCCCGGGTGCACGCAGTTCACCGTCACGTTGGCGCCCATTTCCTGGTGAAACGAAACCCGACCGACCCCGGCCATCAGGAACATGACATCCCCCATTAGGCCATTACCCAGTCAGAGTCATTCAGTGCACATGCATGGCCATGGCGGAAGCGAGAGCCGAGAGGGACGGACGGACGGACGGACGGACAGACCTGCAGGCGCGCGGCGAGCTCTCTGGTGTGCAGCACGTTGGCGAGCTTGGACACCGCGTACGCCTGCGTCGCGTCGTAGGGTCTGCTGGCCCACATGCCATTGCCAACACAATGCAAAGGTTGTTGTCAGGTTAACCACGACACCACAAAATGTTACTACCAGAGGTTGTAAGAAGCAGCAGCAGCCGTGCCAGGCTCAGACTCACATCTTGCGGCGCGTGACGAGGTGCAGGTACTCGGCCCAGTCGCCGGCGAACCAGCCGTGCACGCTGGACGACACGTTGACGATGCGGCCCTGCACGCCCGTGGCCGCCGCCGTCTCCGCCATCCGCCCCGCCAGCAGCTTCGTCAGCAGGAAGTGCCCTAGGTAGTTGGTGGCGAAGGTCATCTCCACGCCGTCCTCCGAGAGCGCCAGCTGCCCGTGCGAGAACTTGCCGGCATTGTTTCTGCACGCACAGACATGAGACATGCAGATCACATACACATACATGCGTGTGGTGACCGTGGCCCGACAAACGCACGAGACGATCGATCGATGGAGCGAACAAGCAGGCGAACCGCGCACGCCACAGAGGGACGTGTGGCGTCGGAGACGCGAGGGAGAAAAAGGAAAGGAAAGCCGAGGGACTGGACGACGTACATGAGGAGGTGGAGCGGGAGGCCGAGCGCGAGGAACCTGTCGGCGAAGGCGCGCACGGACGCGAGCGAGCTGAGGTCGAGCGGGAGCACGAGGACGTCGGCGGCGGGGCACTCGGCCACGATGCGCGCGCGCACGTCCTCCGCCGCCTTGGCGCTCCGCGCCGGGATCACCACGCGGGCGCCGCGCTTCGCCAGCACGCGCGCCGTCTCCGCGCCGATCCCCGACGTGGCGCCCGTGATGATGGCCGTCGTCGCGCCCAGGTCCCGGGTCACCTCCTCCGCCGTCGATCTCGACCCGAACCCGCTCGCGCCCGGCGACCCCAGCAGGTACCGCACCGCTCGCAGCATCCCCGGGAGAACGCACGGCAAGCGGGCGGCGCCGGCGAGGCGGAGCGACGTGATGGATGATGCTGCCCACGGGAGGGAGGGAGGGGGGCTGAAGTGGGGACTGGGGAGTGGAATTAAACGCGCCGACCTGGCATTTATAAACACCTCGGGGGTCTCTCTCTCCTCGCTCGCATCGCATGAAGAGGAGAAGAGAAGCGAAGCGAAGCATGGGTGGAAAAGGCGGAGAGCGAGCACGCGCGGCGCAGTCAATTCTTGGGCATTGACTGCGTGCGTGCCAGCGAGCAGCAATTGCGCGCACGGGCCGTGCGTCCGCGGGCGACACGGCGGCACGGCACTCGGCTCGGACCGAGCGCCTGCCCGTGCGCCAGTCGGTTCCCGTCCCTGGCTCGTTGCAACGCGCGACCCCCCTTTATCCCCTCTGCACGGTGCACGTTCGCGGCGCCGCACGGCGAGATCGTGACCGTCTCGTGCGCGCCGTCCTGGACACCCTCTCGTGCAATCAGCAGCGTGCACTTTCCGTGTGCCAGTGACGCGGCTAGCCACGCCACGGTCGCGCGCGGCCAAGAGCTAAGCTAGCGTGTACGGGTTCTCCCCGGAAGGAGCAAACAAACAAGGCTTGCTTTCGTGAACAGTGCCTCTGCCGACTGGTCCGGCCGTGCGAGCGCGAGTGCGCTGCTCTGGTTCAGATGCGTGCGACGACGACGCGGGCGAGCGAGCGTGCGTGCGGCCGTTTCTGGGCCACTCGCCTCCGGGCCCCGCCCACGAGACCACCGCCGGCACTGGGAATATGGTCAACTCCGTCCCCCCGCCACCGAATCTGCATGTGGAAATCGTTAGGTCCACCTGACCGATGCCTCGCCGCGATCGCATCTTTGGTAGTAGGAGTACCATGCGTTGCATGCTGAATGAGTTTCCATGCATGGTGCATGCTAAGCGCTCTCTCTGCTGCTGAGCTTCGCCAATCATGTTCTACTCGCTCGGTTCTAAATCTAGACACGCTTTGACTTTCCTAAATTCATAACTTTTACTATACACGTAGATATAAGTATGTCTAAAAATATAGCATGTTAAACTTGTTGGTTTCAAACCAAATTTAAACCAAACCAAAATAACAATGTTTTTCTCTCAAAAAAACCAAAGACCAAAACAAACCTAAAACCAAAAACCAAAGACCAACCAAATGAATGTGCCCAAAGTAAAAGCTATTGTATCTATAAATGTCAAAACATACTATAATTTAGAATTTAAAATAGAGGAAGTACGTGGGCGCCTGTTTTTGTTTCCTCCCCTTTTGTTTTAATTTGACTAATCATTTGACTTGTACTAATAAGGATATGGTTGATCTAAATAACTATTCCCTCTGTTCTAAATTATAAGATATTTTTTTAGATACATTGTTTTTACCATACACTTAGATATACACTATGTCACTACGTCAGAATCGATTTATAGGGGCGGCTAATGGACATTTGTAGGGGCGGTTCGGCCAGCCACCCCTACCATACCGTCTCTACAAATCATGCATTTGTAGAGGTGGCTGGTGCTATCAGCCGCCCCTACAAATCGATTTTTGTAGAGGCGGCTGGTGTTACCAGCCGCCCCTACAAAATCGATTGCCTATTTGTATGGACGGCTACAGTACCAACCGTACCTACAAATCGATTTTCCACCAAAAAAAATTAAATTACCAACACGTGCTGAGGCACTGGTACAGGTGAAGGGCCTGGCTGTTGCTAGAAAAAAATGTCAAAATAAACAATGAGTAATAATTTTGCATTGCCTTAAATGGAAAACGACACAAAACACTCACTAACTTCATATGAGGCAAAATTATGCCGGTCAACCCTCAAAAGTAGCATACACTTGAGCAAGAAAAATTTCAAATACATGGGGTGAGGGGCTACATGTTCAGACATACCACAATATATCCAACATTACATTTCTTTTGTTCAAACACAACACCAAAACAAGGGAAACCAAATATTTGCTATTTTGCAGTCTAAATGGCACAAGGGCGTGCAAGTGAGACAGGTGATAAGTTCAAAAATTCCAACATAATGTACCAAACACTTGCTGCAACGAATTGGACACTCAAAACTACAAACCACTGAGAAGCTTCTCCAAGCACAACTGACCTACGAGGGTTGTTCACGTACATGTGATGCTAAAAAAAAGGATTTCCTGAATCACAAATACCTGAGAATTGACAGGTGTGCTATGTGGAACAAACATATTGGTTGGTTGCTGAGGTTGATATGCGTTGTTGTATCCATAGGCTCCAGTAGGTTGTTGTGGGTAAGCTTCTGAATATGTATTACTTGTTCACGTACCTGCTGTTAGCAGTGGTCAGAACATTATACTACAAAACCAATAGAGCAAAAATGCCACTCCCACTATCACAAATGTTTGAGGTTTAAGACATTGTCATGGCCTTACAAGATGACACTTTGACTTTAGTTTTATGAGAATATGGCATTTTAAATATATTCAAATATTGTGGAATTATTTTTATGATGAACCTAGCAACATCAATATTACAATGTATACCTACTATGTAACTCTTATACAGAAAAGGTTTGACAGTAAGAAAACCTAAAACGTCACATTTGTTAGGGGGTATTAGTTTATTCTGGCAAACATTGAACTGGTAAATCAAATGGCAAATTTTAAGTATGAAATGATGGTACAAGAGGGAACCTGGTAAACATTCTGAGAATGGTCTGGGGTGGTATATGGTTGATTTGTGACATAGGGGGGAGGAGTGCCGGTGCTTTCAGAAACAGAACTCCTAGCATTATCGTTCTCTGCAAAATAAAACTCTAATAAATACTATGATATAAAATCCATGTGTAATTACCAATATTTCAGGACAACAACATGAAGAAAAGTGACTTTACTCTGGATACAAAAAGGCGAAACAAAAGACAGGTTCTGCAAGTTAAAATGTGAATATTCACAGCGTACATGCTAAAGGAGGAATTAAATCGATACACCAAATTTAAACCAAGGAATACTTCATTTACATGTTTTGCGAGCTGGTCAGATAATATAGCTTATCCTCTGTGAGAAATCCAGCATGAGTTCAAGCATCTAGTCCCCAACAAAAAAACATGGTGGTCAGTACTCATGTGTGTAATATCAGATTACCTGTTATGGTTTTAACTCTGCTACTCTGGTTTGAGCCTTTGAGGTCATCCATTACATGGGCACCCAAATAATGAACCAGGCCAGGCCTTTCAAATGCCAACTATATTTCTATTGAACTATTGTACTAGTCCAGCCAAATTTTCATAACTCGGACCAACATGGTGCTAAAAACACATCAGACTGGACAGCGTCCAAATCAGTTCAGTCTATAGTGAATGTAAACAAGATAACAAAGAATAAAAATGCAATGCCACTTTAGGACCCATCTATCAAAGCTTGAAAGTTAAAACCGGTCAAACCACCATCAAGGTAATTCAAGTTAGTGACCAAGCACCTACTACTGATATAAAAATACATCAAATGCTTTCATTTCATTAATGTACACCAGGCAATTCTGTTCATTTGATCTAATAGTACTCAATGGTTTTTTATTGATTAACGACACTTACATTGCAGGCAATAGTGCTATTTTTTTAGTGAAGCCCTCTTCAACTATCGCATAATACCCCTATGTTGAAAACTTGCATTGCAGGCAATAGTGCTATTATTAGTTAATTACCCCTGTATCAGGGCAAGTATTGTCTAACCCCAACCAATAAGAGCACTCAGGTCTGGATAGATCATGCATCCTACAGATCTATCATTTACGCATCGATCCATTGTGAAAAGAGAAATATTAACAGAGCATTCTTTCACAACCGAATCGAACATATCCACCAACGTAGGAATCGAACACGATCCAACAACGTATGAAGGGCACACGAGTGGGGCTCACCGATGGTGGGGATGGTGGTGACGATCTCGCCGAGTTTTAGCTTGTAGAGGATGGTGGTTTTACCGGCGGCGTCGAGGCCGACCATGAGGATCCGCATCTCCTTCTTGGCGAAGAGCCACCAAGAAGAACTTCGAACGCTGAGCCCCATCTTTCCCTCGCTGGCGGCCCTTCCTTCACCACTGCACAATCATCACCCCGTTCATTCATTCCCGCTCAGATCTCTCCCCACAAACCCTAGCCACACAGCGGATCGTGAGCCCGTGGCGCCCAGGCGGACGACACCGCAGATCTGAACCGACACGATCTAGCCCGACCGCTGGCGGGTCGGTCGGGCAGAATCACACGCCACTGACCCCCGAGAGAGGAGGAGATAGGGGCGGGAGAGAGATCGAGAGCACGAGGGGGCTCAAATCTGGATCCGCCGAGGACGGGGAGGGAGAGGGGGAGGGAAGGGTGGATCGGGGGGGCTCACCTGTGCTGTGTGTTGAATGCGAAATCCGGAGGAGGAGGAATTGGGGATTAGGGGCAAATGAGACCTGAAGACGGGAGGGGGAGATATGAACGCCGCGCTTCGTGCCGGCTGGCGGGGTGGGAGGCACACCGGCGGCCACCGGCGAGGGACCGACCGGCATAGAATGATGCGATGGGGGGAGGAGGAGGTGGAGAAAGACGGCCGCAGCCGCCGCGCCCGCTCGTGCCAGGCACCGCCGCCGCCCTATCCGCGTGGAGGGAGAGAGGGAGCGAAGAGGAGAGAGAATGAGAGAGAGGATGGGGAGACAATTTTGTGGCCGTTATATATACAACGGATATTTATAGGGAATGGTGGTGATTTCACCGCCCTACAAATGGACACTGACAAGGTAATTTGGTGGTATTACGGCCGCCTCTACAAATCCGACCTATTTGTAGAGGCGGCTCGTATCACCAGCCGCCCCTACTGTTCCATTTGTAGGGGCGACTGTTCTCTAGGCTCCTAAGCACGCCACTGTAGGGACGGCTCTATTACCAGCCGCCCCTACAAAAAAAATTACCCTGTTGCTACAAAGCGTTTTTCACGTAGTGTGTCTAGGTATATAGT